CCCCCCCAAGCCCCGCCTGGTAATTTCTGGTATAAGACACTATATCAATATTCGTTTGATATGCTCATTAGGAAAACACAACATTAGATGCAATTGGGAAACAAAACTGAAAAAATAAACACGTGGATCGTTAGCAGAGTAAAGTAAGGACCAACCCAAAATGGTGGTTTCTTAAAAACAAAATCATCTGGATGAAATACCGAAAAGCAAAGTACTGCAGAGGAGACGGCCAAAAGGAAAACAGAACCTCACGGGAAAACACTGAACAACCACATCAAGTTGACTCAATAGAACACTCTGTTGAAAAGTACAATTGGAAAAGACATCAGCAGAAGAGAAAACAACATATTGACTCGATCGAGCAAGCAAAAAAAAACAACCAAAAACAACAACCAAAAACAAACATCGATGCACACACAATATTGATATCATTATGAAACACATGCGTGAAGAGTACAACATCAAAGACATGCGCGTCACGAGATGGACACTTGGATGGCGAGGTGACACTCGAAGGAGAGACGTGGGGGAACACTTGAGAGGTTTTTGGGTAAGGGGGGGGGGGGTGACTAATTAAAAACTACACACTGATCGCGTAAATACCTACACAACTTTAACCCAATACGAAGAGTGTATTCCTACTCGTTTTATGGTTTGTACTTACACATTCTGTCACGCTGGTAGGCTATTAAATATTAGCACGAAGAACCATGTATACAACCGTGTTGTGAAGGACAAAAGAAAGAAGCGGAGTGTAGGTAAAGACAGAAAAGACAACTCAATTTTATCGAAGGATGGATGGAGACTTTTCAAGTGGCAGTGAAAAGCTGCGTCAGTTTCGATAAATAGAAAATAAGGTAGAGCAATGAGCCAAAGTAGGGGATGAACAAGTGCATGAAAAACAGCATGGAAGTATTGAAAGAATAAGTCTCAGAAATTAAACTAGGCTTGTGTTGAACTAAGAACCAACAATCAACTTAGTCAATCAAACAAGAAACAAGGAGCTGTAGAAAGAAACTAGTACGTTTTCAAAGAATATTGATAATGTTGAACCCAAGTGTAAAAACTTGCAAAGACTTGCACTGAACTGAAGGCAATGAAGAAACATAAGATGAGTCAAATTATGCAGATGGTGACAATGAGGGGGATGAGGGTGGTAGTGAGGGATGTACCGGCGAATTCCTTCTGTCCAAACTGGGACACTCCTTGGCGTGATCACACGGTGGTGCGTGTTTTTTTCTGGATTACTTTTAAGTTTTTTTCGCAACTCGACAAGGGCAGGAGGAGGTTAGGGATGATATGGAGGGGTAGATTGGAGATGGTCTGGCAGTAACTTGCGACAAGATGTATGGCATCGAACGTGTGTAAGTGCGTGCATGCGTGTGTGTATGTGTGTGTGTGTGTGTGTGTGTGTGTGTGTTTGTGTGTGCGTCTGCCTGTCTGTCAGTATGTGGGTGTGTACTGGAGTATTCGCGCACGCGCGTGCATGTGTGAGTGTGTGTATGGGTGTG